TTACGAAGTCTCCAGGCCACAACTTGCTTGTATGCACTGCCGGTTTGGGGGGAATTGAGCAAAGTAAACAAAATGAACTTTTTTTTTGGAATGCTAGGATTTGTAAAATCTCCAGGTCCAAAAAGAAAAGTGTGCAATTCCTTCGAATTGTCCGCAGAGGATTTTTATGAGTTTATTAATTCAATGAAAATCCACTCGTTGCAGGAGCAGGGCACGTACGCTGATTTCGTTGAAGGCTTGAAGGTGTTCGACAAAGAGGAATGTGGAAAGATCCTTTGTGCAGAACTCAGACACATTCTTCTTGCTCTCGGAGAACGACTCAGTGCTGACGAGGTTAGATTTCGCTGCCACTCCCCAGACCTTTTTTTTAAACCAAGGTTTTAAAATTGCTGAATTCAGGTCGATGAGCTGCTGAAGGGAGTTGAAGACGCTGAGGGTTTGGTCAAATACGAGGGTCAGTTTAGTTGTCTCTTATTCTTTTCAGAGTTTATCTATGAAACTGACAAACTATCACTAGCAACGTGTTGTTTTTTGCCCTAACAGTTGCTTGGAATGTGGTGTGGGGGTGCTCGATCGGACGTGGTGGGTATTACACCGTCCCGTTAGGCCTCGTTCAATGTCCAGGAATCGAGCTGAGACTCAGGAATTTCCGAGGGATCGGTTGTAGGAAGTGAGCCCCGGACCAACGAATCTCTTTCCGATCAGATCTTTGAAGAAAGAGCGAATTATTGGTTTTTTGGCTGCGCTCTGAGATGCGCCACGCTTAGGAGCTCCATTCCAAAATTTCGACGTTTGGATGGTTACTCGCCCCATCCAACATTTGAGGCAGGGTCGTGTAACGAAAATCGGCCAGGTACCGTGAGCAGAGGAGGAGGCCAAATCCTGGGTTGAACCTCAAGCTTTCCATCCCTGCAAGATCGCGGTTGGTTGATACCGGACTAATCTGGCGGGGAGAAAATTCTATGTTATGCATCGACTGGCCCTCGCAGTTTATTGTCTATGCTCACTAGCACCCAAATGCATCTAAGCCTTTGAATAGGCGCAAGATAAGTGGCGCAGCCCGAAAGAGAGATTGATCAAAATTAAAAGTTTACCCGTTCATCCTCAAACCAACGCCTAACAGGGCCCTGATTATCTTCAATTGATTTTTACACCTCGGGTTTCCCGGGAAAACATGTGTAGGAGGGGCTGGGATTTGAACTACGAACCGTGCCATTGAGACTGTTTGTGTTAGCCTTTGCACCATGCGTTCAAATCTCGCCAATAACGTGATTTCGTTTCAGATTTCATCAAGAAGGTGCTGGCCGGTCCATTCCCCGACTCGGATTGAATTCGTCATTGTCGCCTGTGTGTTTGATCTGGTGTTCCTTGTATAAATTCGAAGCCGCTCTCTCTCGAGTTCTTAGTTCTCTCATCACATTTTCATCATCATCATCATCGTCAACAGCAACCACAGCATTTCGGTGACCATGGCGATCATTTAAAGGAATGATGACGGAAGTTAATCACTACTACCGTACCCAACCTCATCCCTTTAATGTCCGCCAGGTTCCCGGTACAGTCGTCTTGAATCCGACGTGCGAGTGCGTCTTTCGCCCCCCGTATGTTTTCTGATTCAATTGTCAGTGAGGCTTTACGTTTTTTGTACTTATATTTTTGTGATTTGTGAACGGGTTAGCGGTAAACGTTATGCGTGCGGCCGTATGTCGGTTACGCGTTTTGTAACTCACCAGCCCACACCACTAGCACCATAACTCTGCCCCCCCCTTCAATCCATCGCTCTCATATTCTCTCGCTGTTTTTAATTCTCCTATAGAAACGCACTTTGTGTGTTGTTAAGATTTATTTCTGAAGACTCGTTTCACTGTTTTTTCCTACAATGTTTTGGTGTATGCGTATAAAACAAAAAGAGCCTGGATGGTACCCAAATAGGAGCGAAATCGCTACGCGAAAAGCTCAAATAATGTCTAGAAAAGCTCTTTGATGATGTCGAGGAAGGAGAAGACTTGACAGGATTTTCATTTGAAAAAAGGAGAAAATATTTGGTTTTAAAACTGTCCAGCAGCGCGATATTGCCTTGAGGTGATTCCTACGGCACGTGAGGATTTTCTGTCTTACTGTTCGTGAGGATATTCATCTCGCCCCGAGCCGTCTGTCCTTCGCGCGTCAGTCCTTATCGGCTTACTCTCGCAGAAGAGCGGGTGAGAATTCTGATATTCACTGGTCCAGGAATTATCTATGTGTAATGCACTCGAATATGATTAGCGAGTATGCGGGAACTGAAAAAGAGGAAATGTAATTGTTAAAACACAAGGAAAAAATTAGCTGTTGTTCTACGCTGAGGAAAAGTCGAAGAAGTAGACAGCCGGACAAAGGGTAATATAAGGGGCGAAGAGGGAAAAAGAAGCCTGAGTCTAGGGAGTATGGCGGGTCAGTATTTTGACCCAGCCAATATACCAAACGGTGGGTGGGCACTGATCCTGCTGGGCAGCGGATAATCCAATTCTTCAGCGCTTAGCGTGATAAAAACGCCCTCTGAGGTGCGAAGGTGGCGCGAACTCTACAGCTGCCCACTTAGCACCACCAAAGGGTTCTCCAGTGATGCTGAGTCCGGACCCTGCCTCTAATGTAGCGGCAGAAGTGCGCCACATCTCTACATTGTTCAGAATCTCACTAGCATTTAATTGTGTATTCGGCCTGTAAAACAGCTGGTCCCAGCCACTCTTCCACGTAATGCCTTTAGATTCTCGAAAAGGTCTGGTCAAAAAAACCAACATGGGAAATTTTGGGTTATACCAGCTTCAAGGAAGCGATTACGATAAAGAGGGAGCGCATCGGGGAAGCATGTGCACCACACGAATCAGTTACTTGGCTGCCAGGGAAGCGAGTGTGGCGCTTTCACAACGAAAGGTGCGCTGGTTGCTGAGCAGGACTTCGAAAGCGCTCCGCCCCAAAAGCGATCCGCCCACTAGTTTACTTGGTGATTTGGACGAGCTGCGTTGCCAGCAGCGGCACAAATGGAGCATCTCGATTAAAGCGTGGTTTGGCATGGTGCCACCAAACGCGTTGCGGTGAACTCGTTCATACGTCCACTTTCTGAGCTGTTACCTGTTCATGAGTGAAAACCAACGGCCAAAAAGGGGGTCCCGTTTTGCGTTTTCTTGACGGATTTTTCTGCTTTTTTCGCTACCCACTGAGCACCACCACGTCACACTGAACCCTTCTTGAATTTATCGTAATCGCTGCCTTTAAGAAACTTGGAGTGATCTAGGACGGAATACGGCATGACGGGCTGAATGCGATGCTGCGCCTCTAGCCAATGCGCTATCACCGTGATAAGGGCTGCCAGATCTGCACAGGAGCTTGTAAGGGAATGAAGACAAGCACCTCTATGTAAAGAGCAGAAGGAGTACTCTGTATTTCCGACGGGATGGATATCTGTAGTGACCACACCAGGTCCCACGTTGGCCGATGTCATTGCGTGTTGGAGGCCTAACTGTTCAACTCCTGGCGCGACCTATATGGTAAGCTCTTGCTATGTGGGTGATCACAGGAATAAAATGAATTGTTCCTTAGCAACTACCTAAGGCCAACTACAGTCCGATCACAGAACTACAGAACTACAGGCCTGTTATCAATGAAAGTTGTGCTCTACGCCAGAGTGTCATTTCTTCTCATGAACTGGCAGCTAGGGGTCCAGAAAAGGTTCAAGTGTGTGAGCAGTTTCCATGAAAAATTGCCAAAACCCGTATAGAAATCAATACTTGACTAGACTTACATTTTATTGGAATTAATTCGGCCTATCTCGATGTGTCCAGGGTCTCGGGCAGTGGTTAAGGCACATCCAGCGGTTGGGTTGCTGGAACAGCAGCTTATGTGGCTGGAGTAATTAGTTGCATAATCGTCGAATTACTGCTACTATCCTGGCGAGGGTGCGCAGTAAGGGCACTAGGCCTTCCTAAAGGCAAGCCCCGGGATAAAACTGGTGATAAGAGCGCTTCGTAGTGATGACTGAGCTGCGGAACGGCCTGAAAGTGGAAAGGAAAGCTAGAGAAATCTTTGGGAATCGCTGAAATTAAGGCCTTAACCTTCAAAAAAAAGGTCGGATGTGGAACGATGGCGAGGCAGGGGTCAAAGAAGACAAAACACGCGAGAGATCACGCCGTTCGAGAGAGCACGCCGATATCGAGGTGGGTGGGAAGCGTTGCAACGGGGGTCGATGGTTGCAGGCCCGTAAGGATTAGCGCCCTAACCGCGCAATTTTTGCGGCGAAGCTGGAGTGATCTAGGTAGGGACCTTACAATTTCCCTCGCGGTATCCTTCCCACAAGTCGGGCTAATCCCAGGGTTAGCCTTTAACCTTGGAGTGTTGTTGCGGTTTACCATATACCATCATAAAGTGTGTGCGCCCTCTTGTGTGAGACACTCTCTCGCCTATACTCTCTCCTAAACGCTAAGTGTCTCGTCGCTTCAACATAGTCCACTACACTAGTTGTGAAGGTGAAACACTCTGCATCTGACTGTTTCCTTGGTTCTTTTTGTTATTTCTTCACTGATCATCTCCTTCCCACTTCCAGTTCCATTTTTGGGCGGAGTAACCTCACCAAGTGATTAAAAGGTGTGCCTTTGGCAGAGCTCTCTGGATAGGTAAGGAAATGCGGAGAACTCGTTCAATTTGAAACAGCTTTTTGACCCAAATTTTTCGGAGGCCACATTGAAACGGTTCTGTGATAGTGTTATGAAATGCTTTGAAGCAAGAGGAACACCTGTATTGTTGCCAAGCACATGCTATGAATGAAGGCGCCTCGATTTCCTACAGCGGGCTAGTTTGCTCAACGCGCATTGTCGCGAACAGAGCACAGATCTGGGACAAGAGATCCAGGAGGAGAGCGTATCCTAGCCACTCCGCCGCCTAGACTGCAGCATCGCGCAACAGGACCGGCTGAGCAGAGAGTAGAATAGCTTGAGTAGAAGGTCGTAGCGCCCTTGCTGCGCACTTCTAAGCGGTATAACATCTACCCGCATGTGCGTCAAGTGGGCGTATGTAAAGGATAAAAAAGGATAAAGCATTTGCCGTTGATCAATCCCTTTTTGGGATGCGGCACGCATTCTACTTCCATTTGTACATTCGTAGTGGCGTTTGAATGCGATGTGGCCTATACAATGACTTGCGGGGGCCAGCCGATGTACAAGTCAGTGTTTTTATCCTCCCAGACAAGTCTGGTACCAATTAACCGACCCCGGAGGGATGGAAGGCTTGGTTGGCCCGGGCGACTCACGACCCAGGATTTGATCCCCGGACCGCTCGCGTGGTAAGCGCGCCACTTGTCACTACACCACTTCCGCCCCACGTATGTAGGTAGTGATAAATGCTGCCGTTACGACGGGTATAATGAGAATTTGCTCACAGTCAGATCAGCCAACCCTTCCATGTGCTAGACCGTCAGCTTAATGGTATTCGAATTGACAACCTGACACAATGAAAAATTTTCATCGATTGATCCCTACAAGTTAGTGTACAGTCCAAACACGCATTCAAACTTCACAGCGATGCTGAATGGAGGTAGAATACATGGCGCACATCAGAAAGTAGTTGGTCAATGCGGGAGTTTCTGCGTTCATACCCCGCAGTGCACGCGGGCAGCAATGTGTTAATGACGTCGAAAGCCTTACCCCTTAGCATTAATCATGCATTGTGTTACATTCCTCGTGCTGGGAACTCTTTCATTTATTCCTCCCACTCTAAGCTGAGGTGTTATTCCGCATTGAGCACGCTATTCATTAACATTTCTAAGGAGAAATTATGATGCTCCAGGCATTCGCTCTCCATTCATTCTCAAAACCACACTCTATGAACAGTTGAAGGTAGGTCGCACGGAGTCAAAGGCGGGACATATTGTTACTCATCGAAATTACTCTGAACTACACGACTACATAGTGGCAATAAAGTCTTTACATCGAACGATCCACCAATTTCCTGCTGCAGCTCCTGACACTATCGAGCTCCTTGACACCTTTACAGCGATCTGAATGCGAGCGTCCCAGAATACCAATGCGCCCCCATCAGCCAATAGTTGTTGGCCAATGCGAGTTTCTGTTTCAATGACCCCGCAGCACCAGAGGCAGCAATGCTGTATGACCGTCCGATCAAGTCCTTTCTCCCCTGTAGGCATTTCGAATCCATCCATTATGATTAAACATTCCCCGTGCCTGGAACCTCTTCCATTTCATATCCTCACTCTCTCGGCTAAGCTCGAGGTGTCTATTCCGTATTGAGCACAGCTGATTACATTAACATTCTAACGAAAGATATGCATGCTCCAGCCACTCGAGCTCCCATTTCCATTGCAAAATCCACACCTCTGATGTAACGATTGAAGGCTAGCGTCAGCACGGGGAGTACAACAGGCGGCACAGTGAAACGTCCGCACTTCCCCGCCGGCGTACGCATTTGTTAAAGATTCGCGAATGTGTAGGAATGCTAACAGCTCTTACTTGAATATTTTCCGATCATCTTCGACCTAACATCCAAACGCCAATATTCATCGTTCCTTATTCGTATTCATGCGCGAACGATGTCTGACAATCGGCACTGATGCATCTGTGTGAGATAGAATATAGATTTTTTCCCTGCAGGATCTTGAAAATTTCTCCGCTATAATGCGATCCTGTGCCCATTAGTCGATCACGGAGCCAGACACTAACGGCACCGTCCCGCATTTTACAACCCTAAGAGAGGATGTCTTTGTCTTGCCTGCTTAATAATTCTTCCTCTCTTCCTACAACTGTGAACTCACTCGGATCCCCCTCCGACTGCGCCGTGCACACCTCTATAATTCCCAATCTGGCCTTGAGGTCCTTTTCTCGTTCCCAGCTTGTACCCCATACTCGACTCTCCATCGCCAAATACGTCAGAAACAGAACCACTTCTTCTGCCCCAACCACTCATCTTACACAAACCACAGCCTCTCTAACCAAACACTCCCCACACCCACCCATTTGAACACTAAGATCACAAAAACACCGCGCTTTCTCGGCTTTTCACAATCTTACCTGAGTTTGCTGCCTGGAGAGCTAGTAAAACTGATCTAAAATCGCCCCGGCAAGCGATTACAATTTTTTTTGCAATGCAGAGTAATCTGCTTCTGGCAGGCCAAGGAAAGGCGTGACTGTCCAACGGTATGAGTCAAAAATCTCCCGTCGCACACCCGAGTTTGTGTTTCAATAATATTAATTCCATCCTGCTCAAAACATAATGAACAATTCTGGTAAAGTTACAAATACCATGAATGCATACTTCTAATGAATTTAATCTATTAAGTCAACAATTTTTGCATGTAAATTTCGGATAGCAAACTATCTACAACGGTCGCATCAGGACCACCTGTAAAGGATACGGTAGGCAAATGAACGATGTAACGGTAGTTAAATAGAACGTACCCTTTGTTTGCCGTCGGTGATGTAAAGGAAGGCGATCGCGATGAGGATCAAGAGCGAGACAGCTGCCAAAATGGACGCCGTCACCGGTCACCCATACACTGCGCACCTCGTCTGTCTCCATCTGGGGATCAACAGCGCATCGACGAGCCGCTGTCACAAGGCATCCAAGCACTCCTGGAATAGAATTGACTTCGAGGGAGATCGCGATTTACCCTGAACAAGTGAACGAACCATCGCCAACATCGCTGTCACCGGCCTTTTCCAACCAGTCACCGAGCCATTCCTCGCCACACACGCATTGCCAGGCGTTCGCTGAAATCAGAATGGCTGAACTGCATAAACATTTACGCTTTCCAGGAATAAAGGAGGATTCCACGATGTGGTCGAATGTCGAAGAAGGAAAAATATACCTAGTCGAAAGGCAGGCGGGCCCCATAAGGGTGCGGGACGATGCGCGTTTCGCAGCGAAGGATATGCCCAGCGGCCTTAGCAGGGCCGCACCGCGCCGCTAGCGCCCACTCTCTCGCCGTCTGACTCTAGCCGTTAGCAGAGAGAGCGTTAGCGTTGAAGAGGGCAGCACCGATGAGAGTTGCATTAATGGGGAAATCGACAGCCGTTTCTCATGTTTTCTTCTTCAACCCTGTCTCACTGAGCACCTCTACCCTGATTATGGTGGACCGACATTTCATCGTGAACTCAGCCTTCAAATCCAGAAAAGCATGGAGCATTTGGGGCAAATCAGTGCTCTTCTAAATGCGCCGGACGTTCTGTTCTCATTAAGAAGCGTATAGACGTTCAAGAGCGATTTGCAAGCCTATGCATAAGTTAGGGTTTTCACGCTAATAGACGGGTATATTGCTAACTAGTGTAACTCGGCCGATATAAGGATTGCTCTTCCGGGCAGGACCCGATTCCTAATTTGACCCCCTCCCCAACAGTGCGTCAATTGCCACAACACTACCTCTGCTATGAGTGAAATTATACAAGATGAATCGGTTGATGTCTTGCCGCCGGCCAGCTATTGTTCCACATCCGGATCTTTTACGAAGGTAAGGCATGCCCCAGGATCGCACTGGTGTGGCTCTTGCACACGAATGTGAATGTATCGGTGCCAAGTGGGCCGGCAGTGAAGAAAAAAGGAAAAATCCGTCGAAAACGCTCAGGTTGAGGGCTCACTCACCTTCCTAATTGGCTGTGCTAAAGGAACGAGAGACTAAGCGCGAAGAGGAGAGTATGGGGCGAGAGAGCGCATCAGATGAGAGAGCACCAGACAACGGCCTGATAAGAGAGCTCGTTCGCTGCAGCTCGAGCAGCTTACTTTGCAAGCCCAAAGCGTTCTTGTCGGTCGAATTCCGTGCACGTGAACGCCACATTTGTGATTGTCCCCTAGGGTTCTATACTTCTGACCGAAGAGAAGAGTTATAAAAAACCTCTGCCTGGGTTGTGCCTTTAAAGGACGAATTCACGATGAAAAAGCAACCCATTTCAAATTAACCTAGGGATGGTGAGTGGTACACGAAAGAAGGAAGAACCATGAGAAACGGCCCAGAACCCGAGAAATGGTACCCCTTCCTTGCCCGTTGATTCGAGCATTGATGCGACTCTCATCGCTGTGCCCTCTTCAACACTACGCTCTCTCAGCTATCTAATCACTCGCCACGTATTGAACTACGGCGAGTGATCAGATGATCGGTGGGCGGAGATCGCCGAACCCGCCAGCTTTGAGGCATGATAGGTCGCCGAGGTCAAATTTTTCCATGCGAATTGCGCGTCAGTTCGCACCCTCAGGAGGTCCGTGGGTCCCTCAACTAGGTCAGTTTCCCTTTCTTCGACCTTCATTCTAATCGTGAATTCCTCCTTTAAAGGCTCAATCTTCAGCGATGGTGAACCATTTTCACTAGTTTCTTTTTCTGACTTTTGCAGGCGTTGCCGCCCCGCAGCTCAGTCATCATTACGAAGCGCTCTTATCACCGATTTCATCCCGAGGCTTGCCTTTAGGAAGGCCTAGTGCCCTTACTGCGCACCCTCGCCAGGATAGTAGCAGTAATTCGACGATTATGCAACTAACTACTCCAGCACAAGCTGCTCTCTCCGGCAACCAACGCCTGATGTGCTCCGAGACCCTGGACACATCGAGATAGGCCGAATCAATTCCATTAAAATGTCAGTCTAGTCAAGTATTGATTTCTATATGGGTTTCGGTCATTTTTCATGGAGAACTACTCACACACATGAACCTTTTCTGGACCCCTAGCTGCCAGTTCATGACAAGAAATGACACTCTGGGAGCACAACTTTCATTGATGAAAGGCCTATAATCGGACTGCAGTTGGCCTTAGGTAGTTGCTAAGGAACAATTCATTTGATTCCTGTGATCACCCAGATAGCAAGAGCTTACCATATAGAACGCGCCAGGAGTCGAACAGTTAGGCCTCCAACACGCAATGACATCGGCCAACGTGGGACCTGGTGTGGTCACTACCGATATCCATCCGGTCGGAAATACAGAGTACTCCTTCTGCTCTTTACATAGAGGCTTGTCTTCATTCCCTTACAAGCTCCTGTGCAGATCTGGCAGCCCTTATCACGTGATAGCGCATTGGCTAAGAGGCGCAGCATCGCATTCAGCCCGTCATGCCGTATTCCGTCCTAGATAAGCCAAGTTTTCTTAAAGGCAGCGATTACGGTAAAAAAAATTTAAGAAGGGTTTAGTGTGATGTGGTGGTGTTCAATGCTGGTAGCGAAAAAAAGCAGAAAATTCGTTGTCAAGAGAAGCAAAACAGACCCCCCTTTCTGGCCGTTGGTTCTCACTCATGAACAGGTAACAGCTCAGAAAGTGGACGTATGAACGAGTTCACCGCAATGCCTTTGATGGCACCATACCAAAACGCTTTAATCGAGATGCTCCATTTGCGCCGCTGCTGGCCACGCAGCTCGTCCAAATCAACAAGTAAACCAGTGGGCGGATCGCTTTTGGGGCGGAGCGCTTTCGAAGTCCTGCTCAGCAACCAGCGCACCTTAGGTTGTGAGAGCGCCACATCTCGCTCTCCTGGCAACCAAGTAACTGCTTCGTGCGGTGCACATGCTTCCCGATGGGCTCTCTCTTTATCGTAATCGCTTCCTTGAAGCTGGTATAACCCAAAATTTCCCATGTTGGTTTTTTTGACCAGACCTTTTTGAGAATCTAAAGGCATTACGTGGAAGAGCGGCTGGGACCAGCTTTTTTACAGGCGATACACAATTAATGCTGTTGAGATTACTGCAACAACTGTAGAAGATGTTGGCGCCACTTC